GGTATAAAGGAGAACAATGAAATGAATGAAGTATCAGATGATGAGGAACACTATGAATTACTTGTCTCTGCAGTCAATGGTCCTCCAGACAAAGAAGAAACCAGACCTTCTCAGAGATCCAAAATGAGGCTTCCACCAAGACTCACTAGGAACAGAGCTGTTTCAAGTAGCAGTGTCCCACCAAACCATAAACTACCCTCTCCTTTTTAATGATCAGTACCCTCACTTGGAATGTAAGAGGCATTAGAACTGCTGGTGCCATTGAAAGACTAAGAATCCTCAGAAAACTACACAACATCTCCCTTATTGCTTTCCTGGAACCTTTCCTGGATGACACTCATCTCAACCACTTCAAAATCCAACTGTCCATGCACCATGCAACCTCAAACACCAACAACAAAATTTGGGTTTTTTGGGACCAGGACTTCACTGGCTCAGTTATTAATTCAGATGAGCAGCAAGTCACCTTGGAACTAAAACATGTTGAGGCAAGTGAAACCTTTCACATTTCTGTCATTTATGCCAAATGTAAACCTATCCTGAGAAGACCTCTATGGGACAGTCTAAGGCTAAAAGCCCCTGCAACTGGTGTGCCTTGGTGTGCTATTGGGGACTTTAATGTCATTGCCTCTATTGAAGAAAAGATAGGAGGTCTTCCTTACCAAATCAACAAAAGCATTGATTTCTTAGCATGATGGAAGATTGACGGTTTCACTGACCTAGGTTTCTATGGACCAAGATACACTTGGTCAAATGGAAGAGGCCCTTGTGCCATTGTTTGGAGAAGACTAGACAGGGGTATGGTCAATGACAACTGGCTGACATCATTCCCAGCAACAACAATCTCTCACCTGGCTTCAACAGGATCAGATCACTCCCCCCTGCTTATGGAGATGCATGTTAGGCCTGAAGGTGCAAAGAAGTACTTCAAATTACTGAATTGTTGGACTGAAAGTGCATCTTTCCTGCCTTTAGTCCAAACAGTCTGGGACAAACAAATTCAAGGTAATGCAATGTGGATCTTTCACCAAAAAACAAAAGCACTGTGTTCTGAGTTGAGCAAATGGTCAAGAAGGGAATATGGGGATATCTTCCAACAAGTCAAGGAATATAAATCTAAAGTTATTGCAGCTGAAGAAGTCTGGGCTCACACCAATAATCCAGTGGACAGAGAAGTCCTCCATAATCTAAGAGCTCAATA